AGTAATCTACCAAGCCACGGTCACACGTAAGGACAACAGCACCATTGAAACATACATCGGACTCACAGAAAACGAATTTAAAACTAGATACAGAAACCACATCGCATTATTCCCACACCAAAAACGCAGAAGCTCTACCGAACTCAGCAAACGCATCTGGATTCTTAAAGAAAATAACATTGACCATTTTGTTTCATGGCGCATCCTTTCATCAAGATCACCCCACAACAGCGCAAGCAAAAGCTGCAGCCTTTACCTTTATCAGTACATTACTCATCATCTGCCCACTTGAATTATCATCACTCATTTTTGTTCGATTTAAATTAAAATAACTCTTTCTTGTGTTTAAGGATTCTAAGGTTTATGCCAAAAATCCAGCAAAACAACTGTACTCAGTGGGTCTTGTTTATTTCAGGTAAATGTCAATTTTAGAGTGCTCAGTGTAAACATATTTCAACAACTTTTTTCTTTAAGAGGGAAGATGAATTTAGGTAGCATCACATACCCTTGAGCTAGTTCAGGAATTACTTTCAGTTTACTGTTCACAGTGCATTGATGTGTATAAAAACATTTTGAGACTTGATAATGTTAAGTTTTAAGAAACTGAAGTTCGGTGGAATGACGTCATGCAATAAATGACGTCAACCATTTGTCAATGTGCAAACAGCGTTGATCTGCAATTTTCTTGTTTACTAGTAGATTTGGTAGTGTTGTTGCTACAGTAAAGATGGAGTTTGGAAAATCTGTCACTGACCCTTTGAAACCAATGGAAGATGAAATCAAATTAAAGATGGGAAGCTTGGGGCATTCACAGTTCGCCGTGAACTTGCATTGAGTCCAAGTAAGGCCTGGTGTACTTAACAAGTAGATTCCATTTTGCCATATGTATGGAAAGTTTCAAACGTTCTCTGTTTAAACCTGTACTGTTTGAAGACTAGCTCTTGTTAAATTAAAGTTACAGTACTTTACTTCTCATGCGCAAGAGAGCTCCTTTCTTTATCCTAGCTCTGAATTGGAAAACTTTGTGACAAGTGTTGTTTAGAAGAAATGGTTTTTCTTATTTAAAAAATCAGCCGTGTGCCTGTACTGTGTGACAAGTGTTGTTTAGAAGAAATGGTTTTTCTTATTTAAAAAATCAGCCGTGTGTCTGTACTGTGTGACAAGTGTTGNGTAACGGATGTTGCCAGAAAGCTACCTCTAATTCATGTCATTGGTTACACCATGTTTGTTGAGCCTGCATCGATAGCCGGCCGCATTTCGGGAAACATTTGTCGATTCCTTACATCGAAAAATATTAATTTGGCTTTCTTACCTCTCTTTTAGCTGATAAGATTAAAATGTTCTCTCTACAAGTACTCCACTACCCATCTCCTCTTCTTCAACAACATCAGAGGAACCACAAAATTCTTTAGCTGGCGCTCGCACCTCAGGATTGACACAAAAGCTAATTATGGGGTATCACCGGAGGATGTATTGCATTTGTTCTCGTAGTCATCGTCATTATTGTAATGTCCTGCATTTACTTTGTGAAGAATAAAAGTGGTGGCGCTTCTAAAGGTAAGCAAAACAATTTCTTTTGTTCATTAACAAAAATCTAGAAGGCTCTTTAACTTCAAACATCAAATCACAGCATGCACCCACAGTGCACATTCTCTTCCTTCATCTTAAATAACCACTACTGTTACTGAATGCAGGGCCACTTGATTGATCTATTGATTTCACAACTTTTTTTTGGAATTTTTAAGGTGGTAGGAAAAAATACAGTGAAGCTGATGGTTACTGTAGGTAAGTTAAGTATAAGCTATTGTTTTGACACTTGGCAGCAATAGCTAGTAACCCTAGCTGCTCATTTTGTTGTGTTTTTGGTTTATACAAGCATGTTTGTGACGATTATATCCTTTAATCGCCTTCCTATTTCTGACTTTACTTTACCCAGTGTAATTCAGATTGGACACCTTTGTCCATAATAGTTCTGGCATTATGTAGCAGTGAAAAATTAATGAATTTTCTGGGTATCATTTTCATTAGCAACAAAAATCCAGATTTGTGTCTCTTTACCAGGTATACTTATGTTTACATTTTAGTAATATGCAGTATTATCCTCAAGGAGACCAAATTGATATCCGGGTAACATAATTTATTAGTGGGGAAAGCTTTGTTTAAAACTGCATTAACCTCTTTTTCATGCTGCATGCAACTATACTTGAAAGTATAAATGTAACACATGAGGAAAGCGCTATGCAACTTTAATTTTTATGATTGATATCGACAATGAGTGGCAAAAGTCTGGGCACGCTGTGTTATTTTTTATCTTTTCTCCTACTTTTATTGATCTTCTCCTCTCCCCAATTCAGATATTGCGTGGTGTATACAGAATGCTCACGTATTTCAGGCAACATAGTTTGAGGGGAATTTTAAGTAACTTATAAAAGATGAATCTCAAGATTTCTATTCATTATATCGAGTGGAAGGTTTTCGACCGCCCACTAAGTGTAGATGTGTCAACGACTTTTGCCATTCGTTGTAATTCGTATTGCTGCAATAAAGTTATTTTATCCAGCACTGTGCATTGCAATTCAAATATTACTTTTTAAACGCAATTGCTTTTCTTAAACTTGTGCACCGTTCAGCTTTGATGACAAGTATATCTATCTTACTGCCGTATGAATATAGTCAAACCATTGGTGAACGCTGATGTTTTTAAACGACAAAAGCCTTTTATTCCTTTAGATTTGACTGAGCGAATGGGTTATTGGAACAAAATAGGTTGTTTTGATTGATTTACATGGTCTTTAAAAATTAACTGTCAGAAATTACTTTTAGGCGAAATTCTCTTTAGAGTACCATTTATAAGAAGTATTTGCTCCTCGTCATGATACTATAAGAAAATCTTTACTTGAAGAGGTAATTCCGCATTAAATTGCACGCGAAAACCGATATCGCGCGAATCGCGAGTCAAGTAATGAATTTTCCTTGAATCGTATAATTGAATAAAAATAAGAAAAAAGAAAAAGAAAACAGCATTCTTTGTGGTTGTCATATAAACGTGGATGAGAAACATCACGTACCCTTGATTTCAACTCGTAATTCTTTACTTTGTCTTTTGGAAATTTTGTCACGCTTTCTCCATTTTTTTTTTCGATGCATTTGAACAACAAAGAATGAGTTCTTGAAAAGGGACGCCTCCAATAAGGATATACTATTATGTCAGATTCGCCGCGATCTGATAACCAATATTTCGACGTTTCCAACTTTGTAAGGAACAGTAGCTAAAGGAAAGGTATACTTGCAATAAGGGGAAGATAGTTAAAAGAAATGCTTGAAACAAAGCACGTAAAACAATTCGTCCGATTGTGCGCCTCTAATCGTAAAATAAAAATGCAGAGCTACCTTTGTCTTATGAACATTCGCCTAATGGCATGGCACCTAGCTGCATCATTGATTTAATTAATAGGACTATTACGCGCTATTCGTTGCGTTCTAATAAAGGTGTTTTATTAAAACATCCGTCGGGGAAAATGAAAAAATCATTTGGTGACAGATCCTTCAGCATGGCTGCACCCACTTTATGGAACGCTCCTTCTGTAAGCCTTCGCATGATCACATGTATTTCTACTTTTAAGTCAAATATTAAAACTTATCTTTTTAAATTAGCTTTTGATATTTCTTAGATGCGTATATATAAATAAATGATGTAATGTTTATATTGTAGAATTTTAATACTTGTACAGTTTTAGGTTAATTATTGTTGTAATGCGCTTTTGATCAACTGGTATGTGAAAAAGCGCAGTATAAATCAATAAATTATTATTATTATTATTATTATTATTATTAAAATTAAAAGCACAAAGTCAAGTAATAAAACGTTGAGTATTTTTGCGACGTCTGTTTTGAGTCTCCCAGACAATGACACAGTGTAGTTTTAGCTATGTTTCGTCAACACAATGAATTGTTTACTTGATTTCCTGATTGACTTTGATTGAGACTATGCAATTAAGCCACGTGAATAANAGTATTGACCACTGGACGGGTCAAATCAGGGCTTATCATTTTGTGCATTGTCTGTCTCATAGCTATTCTCATAGCTGTAATTTGCGGCATAAAAAGAACAGTGAACTTTGTTGACTCTGGGATGCCTCAGCGCCAATAACTGCACCCGGGCTCGAAGGGTATTCTGCTTGGGCAATGTAACCGGAAAAAAAAAAACATATGTATTGACAGCTTGACAATGGCAATCAACAGGATGCCTACAGCTTGCATGGAACTGCATGTGCCATAAAAATTAGAATTGGCCTCTACAGGTTATCCACAGTACAAGTGCTTTCACACAAGTGTTCATGGGTTATGAGTGTCTGTTATCATAGGTGAGAACTAAGAGCTAAGTGTGAATTCAGAAGTAATTGCAAGATGTTTATATAGCCGCATCGATTAAATAAGCTGGGGCTTTGGGAACGTCATCGCTGAAGGAATCTGTGCTCGTGAACTCAGAGAATGGCCTCCACTATCGACAGATTCATAGGTGAGGACTTTTTTTCTTTAGCACACAACTGCAGACGGTTGATAATTATTCCTAAAGTCGGGAATGTTTGGACAATGGGATAAGTTCATAGTTAACGTTGTTAAGACTCGCGGGCATTTTAGACGTGCTTCCGTAAGAAATCAACTTGAAGATATTAGGGTTTGTAACTGTTTCCCTTTCACGGTTTCAAATTTAAGTTGTCGTTTTCCTTTGAGTCCTTGGGTGGTCCAATTAAACGCAGTTGGTAGAAAGCTCTTTACTAGAAATTCTATTACAAGGAATTTCGTCAAGTGAATTGAATTGATGTTGGTTAGATAAATAATTAAATAGGAGAGATAATCAATATTTCAGTGAATAGACAGTTGTAAAAAAGCAACCGCAAATATACGTGAGGATGTTGATAAATAAATTACCTTGAGGAATGTAATACAGATCTGATAATAAAAGTATATCAACAATAGATACATATATCAGTCACTGTTTACGTGGACGTGCTGATGAACATTCGACTTGAAATAATTTTCCACGTTATTTTTCCTTGTTGCAACTAATCTGAATGGAGAAAATTGCACTCCTTTTGGATTCTTATCTTTCATCTCTTGGAGGAAAAACCAAAAGGTTACGTCATCCCTTGCTGTTTTAACATCTACCATAGGTGTAGCCTCTATTGTGTGTTTAAGTCCATCTGGACCTCTCATCACAGGGAAGCTTTCGTATCCTGTGTTAGTAAGTCTCTCGGTCCAATCTAATTAACATATTTTTTAAAACCTTGCCTCTAAGAGCGACGGGGTCTTTCTTGGCTCTCGGTATTGAGATTAGTTTGGAATATTCGAATATATTTTTTTTTTTCTCAGTTCGTGAGTGGGCGGTATTCTACAAATCCTCCAATCTGATTGGTTCCGAGAGCGGGCAGTATTCTCCCCATCCGCTCACAGCGGGCGGTATCCGTTTCGCCTCGAGTCACTTTGCAGAACATCTCAAGCTTCGTTACAGATTTTCCCAAATATATCTCGTTTTGCCGGCCGGGCAGAATGTTTGAGCAAAGACTTCGGTCACGACCTTTTGGCGATAAATAATATTCATTCTTTCTTCTCTCTCGCTCTCAAATCACAACGGTTTTTCTACAAAAATTGATCTCGAAATAAATTTGGTGGTACTGAATTTGTCTTCAAAACGATTGAAACGCGGCCTAAAAACAACTTTTTATTACCGGAGCCCAGCCCAAGGCCGGCATCATAAAATGCAGACGGTTTCCGTCGTTTTTTCAACGTTACGTTGTTAGGGATATATCGCTGACTT